GTACGTTTCCCACTTTCATAACACATCCAACTAGTGGCAGATTTTGGAACGATTGACGACGTGCGCTTATCTCGTGGACCAAGCACAAGACTATAAATCTGTGTTCTATGCATGCTTAGCGTAAGTGGATTGGATAACGAGGCTCCCTTTTCTCCCCTTAACGACCTACATGACAAACAGTTGTAATAATTTCAACGTAACAAGACAGTTGTTCAGTTTGCTGAAGGTCGCTCAAGGCTCTAGCACGCTGACATTTCAAGTTCATTGACCGACCAAATCCCCATTTTTGTAAAAATAATTGTTGTCATTATTTGTCCACTCAGCCTCGCCAGCGCCAGCATGAATGTGACAGCAGTGCTGGATAGCATTCTAAGGGGCTACGATAACCGCGTTCGACCAGACGGCGTAGGTTAGTCTGGGCTGTTCCTTGCTCTATGGTCTGGGGATGCCTGTGCTGCATGTCGTCATTTTAATGTGAATGAAACGTATTCAAGTACCTTATGGTGAAGGTTAGGAGGCACAGAGAAATATAAGTTATGTATATTAATAACACCAAAAAGGGAGAAAGGACGGCAGAAATATGCACGGGCAGGAGACATAATGGAATAGACCGATTGCGTCCGCTAAATCACGTGACCTATAGTGGGTATACCCACAGCAACGTGTTTGTTTTAGTTTTGTTTACAAGCAATACAGCCGGTGTAGTACCCAACACACCAGTAGTCCCAGTACGGTATCAATCGTCGACTTTAATTTTGGGACATGAAACTTATCAAACACTCTGCTTTGAGTGGACGCTACGTTAGTTGACATTCAATACCCACTATAGGTCATATGACTTAGCTGGCGCAATCGGTCTACTGAAACGCGTCTGGTGTTTACAATTACTTAAAGACGTATTGGGGTACATGGAAGACAACGTATGGCCCATTTCTACTGATATATCCGACGGGGCCAAAACCAAAATTTCTGGTGGGCAGAGGGTGGATGATTACCACAGAAGTGCAGTTAGAAACCTGACTTGCGAACAAAATTAAGAATCAACCTCCTTCTTTGAAGATGACCAAAGTCTGGAAATATGTAGATCGCACAATATAGGCGTTTCTAACAAGACGGTCGTAATTTAAGTTATTCGTTACGTGTATTTGGCTTTGCTTAAAAATTAAGTCATTCCTTATAGGTGTGTTTTGTTTTTTGCTTTAAGCGGTACATTTTATGTTGTTCTTTTATTCCAATAGCGGAAAACTCTGCGGGTCTACAGGAACCAGATGAAAGTAAGACACGGATGTGCCTAGCTTATTAAGATGTCATTAAACTGGAGCAAAATCCCTGAAATACACATTCAGAGAAACTGGAATGGAATAAACAATGATTTCAAGGCTGAACAACAGTATTCAGATTTTGGGTAGAGGGCCGGTAGAATGGGACGTGTTAAAAGAAAACGACTCGAAGCCCTCGGTATTGTTTCTATTTCACTTTGATATTCGTTTAATGCACATCAGATCATCTTTACCTGTAGATCTCCCATTGCGAATACTGGTTCAAATCTACATCGAAAGCGTGGATGGCATCAGGGAATCGACAATGGTAAGTCATAGGAAGTTTAATAAAGAAAGAAGTAAACGTCAAAACTTTTCCTTGCGTTTTGGATATTGAATCCCACAAGCTGATCGGGGAGTGGATGTCCCTCATTAGGAACGACTACACACGTTTGTTTTTATTAATCTAAGAGAGCGCAACTTTCTGGTGCTAATCTGTTAATGCCGAGTACCTTGCCTACCCCTGCCTATGCGTTTTGAACAGTTTTGAAAGAAAACTGGAGAACCAGGATCGTGCAGGAATAATCGACATATACCCCTCTGATTTAAACGTCAAAAATTCCATTGGTATTTGCCAGAAGTATATAACTAAAATATGCTGGTTTGAGGTTTGGGGGTAGATATATGACAATGTGATATCCATGCTCACGATCACCACTGCATGTTACTTTTTCAGTAATTTGTGCCCCGACCTGGACCAAGAGAGGGCGCTATTTTTCGAGCAACGCAGGCTCCTGTAGTGGTAATATTGATAGTGGAGATCAATAGGTCTCCTCTATGATGGAGATCAGTGGTGGGAACTGCCATTCGCTGGTTCACAAACGCCTGCGAAATGCAAGCGTCGCGGTCGCGTCGCTACGAAGATAATGATTACTCCCCACCAACCTGGCTCTTTTCAACAAATGAGGGATGTCACGTTTTGCCGATGCACGTGCGTGCCGAGCTGAAGAATGTTCGTGGGAGTATGGCGCCACCGCGGTGACAGTGTCTAATCGGATTTGTCTGCATGACAAATTGTGTCGGGTAAAATTTGACGGGGGCACCAGGGGTGTACACTTGTTATCCTAGTGTCCCTCAAAACTGAGAAACTGTAGCTTGAAGATATTTATCAACAGTTCGGGGGGGGGGTGGTCGTTCCCTGTGAGCTCCCCTCCAACATTACGTCACTGGTGTTCAGTAAAGTTTACTACTTCGATGGCGGAGCGCTCGTTTTAATAAGTTTCTCGTGACGGTTTTCCACGGAATTCAGTGAGTTTCGAAGATTTTTAAAATGATTTTTCTTCAATTGTTTTTCTTTCAGGATTGGACAGCGACCGTCTATCTGCGGCTGTTTTGGCAGGACAGACGGTTGGCCTTCCACGGCAACCGTAGTCTGGCCCTCCAAAGCAAAGGCATTGAGAGAATCTGGCTGCCAGACATATATTTCCTGAACGAGAAGAACGCCAGGGTGCACATGGTGACACAACCAAACAAGCTGATGCGAGTCCAGCCGAATGGGAAAGTGTCGTACAGTCAAAGGTATTGGTGGATACTCTCCGTAATTTTGACCTGGGTCGTGCTGACGCTTATAGGGTCACTGAGTTGTTTATGCTGACCCGAAACCTGGTACCAATATGCTGATATTATACTCAAGACATTAGACGTTTGAAGGGATCATTTCTTCATGGTTTGAGCGATGACAAAGTTTCTCAGGTAGGAACACACGTACCAACACCACGCTGACTGGACTGGGACCAACGATCTCAAAACTTGACACTTATACGATGCATCCTAGCATGTCTCCATAGCACTGTCTTCCACTGAAGCCAATTCAAAAACTGTGGTGTAAATTTAACATCCTTGGTTTCCATATAGGATATCACAACTCCGATGTTGTGCTATACACAGCCATTGAGGGTGTTAACTTTGACACCAGTTTGGTATCACAGAACATGGAGTGAGTGAAACAACTATAGACAAATATCGTTGTGAATACAAACACCGATTTCACAATCTCGCAATGGTTGCTCTGCTTCCGAACTCAGGATCACCTTGACGGTTTCCTGCAACATGAACCTGCAAAAGTTTCCGATGGATTCCCAGGACTGCGATATCATCATTAGCACTTGTAAGCCCCATTCATCATATCTAAGGGGAATGTTATAGCTGTAAAGTCTCTCTGAACTCCTGCCATTAATCATTTGAAACATGGTCCACTTTACTCCTTACGTCATTGTTATCCTGTAACCAGAAGCCTTAATACCAAGAGACCAATTCAGTTAACCCTTCTTTATCCGCCTTGAGCAGAAGCACTCCCTCACCGGTTGAAAAGATCTTTGCTGGTCGGGAATGTTAATTTAGTTGGTAGGGGCTAGGGACTCGCGCGCAACGTGTGCATTTCATACCGGTAGTTGTTTAATTCGTGAACCAGCGAAGTGAAGCTCCTACCAAGGGAGCCCCGGTTGCTAGGAAAATCGTGCCCTCTGTTGGTCCAGCTCGAGGCCCATTGTCTTAGGCCCGCTGATTTGATTGCCAAGGTCAGTCATGCTAGCCTTGCGATGCTGTCTTTGCCACTGTGTCTAAGTCTATATAGTTCGAATTCCACCAGGAGTTGAGTATTTAAGTTCGCTGAACGATTTCTTAATTTTCTTTTGTCATTGAAAGAATTTATGTTTGGTTTTTCTTCCAATGTCAATTGGCATATAGATGCCTACTCTACGGAAGATGTCCTCCTCTATGTGGACGATCATAGCATCCAAATAGAGCCCGCTGTCACTATATCCAAATTCAGCCTGACTGGTATGGAAGCGAAACAGGAGACACTGGAGTTTTCTTTGGGTAAGTGGTCTCCACCAACGGAACTGCTGTCAGCATCACTACTACATTGCATTGATTCACTTCAGTGTAAGAATGGTAAAAAGAAACGTAGATTAACTACGGATTGGTTTAAATACTCGATGACAGTTCGAACTTCATGCCAGCTACAATGTTGGAACATGCAGACCTGATCCCGAATGCTTTATGGCAAAATTCAAAGCGATCACTTGTTTTCAGAAGCCGGTGTGAAGTCGGGTAAGGATTGAATGCAAAATTGCTCTCCTTGTTCCGCTTTGTTTGTTTAAAGTCATAATCATTACCGGTATTTAAAGCGGGAATGGTCTTCTTTTAAACCCAGTCCCATACAAACGTAGCCGGTAATTTGCTTAACCCACATTGCCAGACGTCCCATCAGTGGATACATGTATATCTGGAGCGTTGTATGCCTTGCTGTTCCTTAAGGAATTCACGGCATAAGAACAAATTGTTTTAATGGGCATCGAGGCATCGTTTCGTAGAAAGTATAAACGGTCGAAAGCTCACGCACGGGGAGCAACATGGGCCACGCCAAGAAACAAAGGAACAGGCTACAGAGTATCAACTTGCGTTAAAATTTGCACCAATGTGTAAAAAGTTAACCAAACGGGCTTTTTTTGCGCCGATGGGAATGGGCGTAAAGCATGTAGCGCCGGGTTGTCCAACAAGAAAAAAGAAGACACCACTGAAAATGCTTTTTTGATTATGCATGTGTTCAAAGGAATCACAACTGATTTGATGTTGAATTATTCCATGGTTAAATGGTAGGGAATTTCAGCAGCGTGAGATGCTACTTTCACTTCATACGTCAGATGGAGTCGTACTTCCTCACCGTGTACATTCCTACCTTGCTACTGGTCAGCATCGCCTGGCTGTCTTTCTGGATTGACGCCAAAGCAGCCCCCGCGCGCGTAGCCCTGGGTATAACTACGGTCCTGACCGTGACCACCATGACAGCCGGCATACAGGAGACGCTACCAGTCGTCACCTACGCGAAGGTAAAGTCGACGGTAGCGAGTTCCTTCTGCAGTATTTCATTTTCGCGCGTGAAAATATCGATTTTGCGTGCAGTATTGTTAATGTGCGTTCTTCTCCTAAAGTTGGCGTTTTCGCAAATTCGGTTATGCCTCTGTGACGCAAGCGTTGCAACCAAACAATAATCTTGGGTTGCAGTTGGGTTGCAGTTGGGTTGAATGGAAGTGACGTTTGTAGACAATGTTGTCTGATTACTTGTGCTTTCTCAGCCTCAAATTAAGTAACCCTTTTTAGTTTGGCGTTTTTACGGACCACCTTAAACATATTCCCGGTTAGTGCTTTGACGTCTCAAACATGCTCCGGATAGGCCTGGTTTCCATATCAACGTAAGAAACGCAGAGAGCAACGTAATCAAGACGCAAACTGTAACGCAGACAAATGGAAATATGTTAAACGGAAGTGTCGCCGATAAAGTAAACTATCCCTAGACGGATCGGCAAAGTTGAGCCCGGTTCAACTTTGCCGACTGTCTGCGTTGAGTCGCTGAGTAGGCCTCCAAACACACACGCTGGCATGACAGGTGTACAACGATGTTTCTCTCGCTTAGTACCAGCCTTTCCATTTTCTCTTTATTATTAGCACATGCAGCCCCAGCATAAACAAATTACATCAAACTGGAGTATCAGTTTTAGCTTCGAGAGGAAACCTTGCCATGCCACCTAAAAAAAGGCATTTTGGGAGAAAATATTCCACTTTCGAATTCGGGCACCGTTTTATTGAACTTTTTGGTGGAATGACGTCGCGCAGTGTCTCTTCCGCGATTGCCTGCGTTTTGACGTCTTGCGGACCGTCTGCGTTACAGATGACCATAATAAAGGAAACCAGGCGTTAGGCGTCGAGTCACGAAAACACGTCCCAGTTAGTTTAGACGTTAAAGTGTAGCTGCAATGAATTTTCTTAGACACATTTTTTTCTGCAACTGTGTACTTTTCAAATGAATTGTGCAAACTCTTTTACATTCTTATTTGGTTAAATGCATTGAAAGTGATCTTTTAAAACTTAAAAAATTATCCGTGGTTGCCTTGATAACCGAGGGTGCTGTTGCTGTGAAGTCATCTAGGGAAGACATAGTTCAGTGCACAGGTTTTTCTATTCAAATTGTGAACCCAGAATTTACTCACTGAAAACATTTCTGAGAAAGGGATTTATGCTTGCTATGGACAACAGTGAATCAACAAAGAAAAGAAAATTTAGTCCAGTAAAGTCTACAAAAATACGGGACTTTTTGTGTACAAACCGATGTAACATTGAGGTTTTTCCTGGGACGACATCACAGTTTTGCTCATGAATATGGAAATGCACATTAGCATAAAAACCAACAAGACAGTATATAAAAACCGTTTGAAATAGTAAAACAGAAGTTGAAATCAAGGTCAACCGAGAAACAAGGGTGCCTTTTTGAAATGTTTATATTAAAACAAAACTGATTGCAGCTACCCTTTAATGGCCGTGACACTCGTGTGATGACTGATTCAAGACAAGCAAGGTATGCGCGAAATGCTAACGGATTCTCTGAATACCAATACGTGTGCGTAACTAGTTGGTATAGGCCCATCTCAAACCCGAATTCTGGGCGTTCCATAGTGTATGCTTCCACGCGATGTCACAGAGATACATGTAAATAATGCTGTGTAAATGACATTTTCGTATTACGCCGAAACCCTCAAACGACTCAGGAGAAAATTTACGTACTATGGCCCATCACCATCACCAAGGGCCTGTTCCTAAATGTGACCATAAGCTTTCTTGAAATTCACCCTCTTAAACCGCAGGATCAATTGCCTGTCTGTACCGCTAGGGCATTGAGATAATTTGTAACTTGTGTTCCTCTCCATAGGCGATCGACATCTGGCTGGTAGTCTGTCTCATGTTCGTGTTTTTCTCTCTACTTGAGTACGGCGTGGCCAATTTTCTCCTCATTAAACAGGTAATGTATGCATATCTCTTGCCTTGGGCGTGACTTAATACAGGGCCCACGGAATGCAGTTTCTTTAATGCAGCTTTGTAGGTGCACCTTGATTTCCAGTTAAATCGATTTTCAATTTCTGTTGTGCCATTTTATAGGACAATTTGATCATTTGATCTTTTTGCTTTCTGTTCAAATGCAAATTTTGCACATGTATGAGCGAAGCGCATATGTCTTGTAAGACATGCAACTCATGTTTCTGCACTAACGATTGCTGGAACTTTGAACATTTTGCTCTCAGGGTTTTTTTTACTTTGGAGATTAATTGTTTGAGTTCAGGACAGCAGTCCAGTGAGAAAAGCTTTCTTTGTAATATTTCAAATGACCAACTTCTAAGTTTATAATGTGAACGGAAAACTCCCTGAATGAACCGTGTCTTCCTATCCTGAAGTGACTTCAGAGCAATAGCACCCTCATTCGTCCTGAAAAATGAGAAAAATTTAACTGGTTTTTCAAAGACAATGGGTATTTAACTGGCTATATGTAACCAGCGCCCTCTTTGAGACCTATACACGATTAATCCTCATTATTTGAAGTATTATTTGAAGAGGGCGTGGTTTTTTTTTACTCGTCGCATAAAGCGCGCGTTTGTAATTATTGTTGTGGTCGAAACCATCACAAGACCAGGCTCAAGACCATGCGCAAGACCAATCACAATAAAAGGTTGAACAATGACAAAGGAATGCTTTTGTTGCGGTTCATTTGAATAGCTTGTATCTTGAATTCAGACTAGGGGCCTTGTGCTGGTCTTGCGTGGTCTTGTGAGGGTCTTAATTGGTTTCGACTACCTTGTATATAATGGAGATCAATGGTGCATTTGGCGGAGTACGCTGAGTACGGGTAACGAATTTATTCCTTGATGTATGGTCTTTGCGTACACGCAGAACGCGTTCAAGAACCCACTTGGAAAGCTTACAACCATCTGCCTTTCTTTTGCTTCTTGGGGGTGCACTTCAACTCGGGGCGAATAGCGAGCACATCATGAGATCACATGATACGCTCCCAACTGGGTTCGAACCCAGGCAGTCTTTTTCCTTTTTTCGTCCCCCCAAATTAAGAATTTTCTTGTTTTTTTTTTTTTTTTTAAATCGACTCCATCACTTTATTAAAGAGTGTGACATTTTCTTTTCCTGATTCGTGGCTCTGGAGGATTTTTCAAGGGAAAAAGTCCGATTGTAACATTGTCTGATTCTTATATTGTGAATACGAAGTCACAACCACTGAATTGCTGTAGAACGAGACTAATAGTTGTCACCGTGACGGCAAGAATGTCTAAATCCAGAAAACGGTCACTACGCATGTGCCCGGCAAAAACATCGTTTAGTTAAATTGCCGGCGACGGCTAATGATATCCACTGCCTTAAAAATGCAAGCAATTAAATCCAATCCAAAGGAATAGAAAGCTGCGCAAAACATGTTCCAAAGTAAAATTCAAATCATGGACCCTTTAAACATAATAATGTAACAACCTTATTATATTTTTCATGATCCTCAGAGACATCTGATTCACCCCCCCTCGCACGTAGGGCATTCTTAAAAGATCCTTTATACAATATCGACAGTTGCAAACACACAACCAGCAAATTTTTCAGGACGTCCTTTCCTTCTCTTGCACAGTGACAAAGTAACGTATACATAGTATAAGTAAACGTGGCAGTAATAAGATATTATTTTGGCGACAGGCGAACAAGGCAGCCTTCACAGCTTCGATTGACGACAGAAGTAAAAGGAACAGGACACTTGAAGGAGGCCCTCAAGAGTCTAGTCAAGGCCAACTGATGACAGCCGACCGAATGGACCGATACGCTCGATGGCTATACCCCATCGCTTTTCTCACTTTCAGCGTCTGCTATTGGATAATTTTTCTCACAATGTGAAACACAGATTTAGAAACAACGATGTTTGTTCACTTTCTCTGGTATAAACTTCGGTTCCTGGTTTGAGAGATGCCCAATGATTACCACTGAATGCAATATTTATTTGGTTTTATGCAAGACTGCTCTAAACTCCTTTTGGCGGGGGTGCGTTTGTTTAATTCACTCGAATTAGTGATGCTGGGGTCATTATTACTGAGTGGATGGCGTTTTTGTGCTCATTCTGAAGTGTCTTTCCATACCATAAATATCATTTTGAGAATAGCACGCCACGGTGTAGGCTTAATACGAAGTAATTTGATTATATCTACACTGCATCACGGATCTTTTAATCCTTCAGCACTAAGTTTGAAAGTGTCAGTAAAATTGTTAATATTTTGCATTTTGTTATTCCCGCGATAAGGAAAGACAATCTCAGATTAGAAGATCTTTTTACTCTTGATTGAGCATTTTGAAACATGAATTTTGCTTTTATAGACATGGAGCCTCATGTGTTACTCAGTTATTTGAGTTGGATGATAAGGTCTAAAGCAAACATTTTTTCGTGCAATAACTTAATCTGTAAGATTAAACTCTAGGTCGTCTGCTATGTTGTATGCTATACAGTAGACAATATTGCGCATTACGCTGTTGTAAACTGAAACATGTTTTATTCATTTTGTTATTTGAGCTATTATGGCCGTGTCTGACTCACTGGCTAAGGCTTGAATTTACGCACTAGGCTATTGCAGTGGCCGCGGCCAGTTCCCATTAAGTCGTGCGTATTCAGGCTGCAGCCAAGTGAATCGGACATGGCCTAATAGTCAATAAAAAAGAAATGGTTAATGCAGTTCAGAAAAAGGGGTACTACAAGCAAAGTGGTATATGCATATTATTTTTACAGAATATTTTTCCATCTGCCGCATTTCCCCACTAACTTCTGTTCTATCGTCTGTTCTTAACTGCTTTTTGTACGTTATAAACATTGTTTTATGAAGCAAATGAAAAAGGATTACAGGGACGCCATGATAATAAAAAAAAACGGCTTGTGTAGACTATTAAAGCATTACACTAGTTGTTCGAGTTAATTAATAATGCTGTCATCCGTCGGTTCCAATCAACCCAAGTCATTTCTGAGAACTGACGTTTTCAATACGGGCGATGCACAATAGGGCGCCTCCAAGAGTTTACAAAGCGTTGACCAATCGCAATGGGCGAAATCTGTCGACCAAATGCGCGTTTGGAAGGGGCGACAGAGTTCGAACACTGTGATTGGTTAACAAATTGCAACTCTTGTGAATCGCCCGTATTGATTCACATTTTCTCCTCAATGTTGAGCAATTCTCTTCGTGTTTTGTTTAATAGCATTGTACGATTGTTATCGGGTGCTGTGTATTTTAATGATCAATTTTTAAGCATGTTATTTTGTAGTTAGCCGTGACTTATGGTGTGTGAAAAATCCTTTCATAAACAACAACCAAGGTGTATTGAAGACTGAAAGGGATATAAAGTTTTACTCCTTAGACTAGTGTTACACGACCTGCAACCAATCCATTTCTTAATCATTTGCACAATACTTGTTACTCAAAGCTCAAAACTGTAAAAAAGAACTTGATGGCATTCATTTCGCATTTACTTAAAACTTTTAATAACTTTAAAAACAAACAAAATTCTAATAAAGAATTTGTTTTTGCACCAAATTTGATTTTGCAAAATACATGAACTGTGTGTTATTACGGATTAAATAATTATGCAAGGTTCCAGTTTTTTTGTCAACAACGACCTTTTAACACTAAAGGTATTTTTTAAAATTTTGCTTTTCGAGTTTCATCGAAGATGGCCATTAAAATTGGACATTTCTGACAACGTTAAATGCGTTTGGACGACTGATTCAGCAATTAAAATGGATTTAGCTATTAATGAAATATACAGTCGCTGCTGGGTAATCCCAATTTCAGGTTGTACAGGCTGGGTCGTGATCACCGTAACAGACTTGTGATTTCATGGTAAAGTCATACTCACTGAGTACCTCCATGGAGGGATCTGCTCCTTCCTCTAGGGTACTTCAAAATGTTGGGTTATAAACTTTGGCGAGTTGAGTTTACTTCCTTTGACAACTTCATAAAATCACAATACAGGGGATTTCATAGTCCGGTACATGACACTCAATGATATTTTCTCCTTTTATGCATCCCACGCGGTATTACTCGAAACAGGAGACTATCAAAGAGCACGCACTGCAGACTGCACCAAAGTTGGTTGCAGGGCGATTGCGCATGCAGCGTAGCCAAGAACGGAACGGTGATTCAACTCTGCCATGTCAGTCACTCCACTCGCACCGCCCCCTTGAGTCAAACTTCGCTGAAATGTAATCCACGATAATCCAAGATAGATTGCTTACGCTGCCCATCCCGGCGTTAGGTTAACCAGATAACAAGCTGAGCCACCCCATGTACTCAAATCAACTACGGTTCGTGGTATGCTGTTATTCACGCTACCTGAAGCCTAGCCACCCTTCAAATATCAAAGATTGATCGTTGGGTTCAACCACGCGACAACACGTGGCGGGCGGTTTGCGCACTTCAACATCGAATTCAAGTCCATGCAGGGTAAGTAAATGTCATCCAAGGGTTTATCACGGCAGTCCAAATGTTCTGCGTGCCCCAATGTCTTTCAATGCACATGACTGGACTCATGGATTGATAAAAATGGATGGCACTCCTTACAGTATTCTTGGTAACACAATCTTTGTAAATATTATGTAAAGAGCGGAGTAGTAAACGCAAAAACAACCCTGATAAGGCTCGCAAACATCTTGATGTGATGGGCCGGTGCAGGATGTAACTGAGGTAAAGCTACAGAAGTGATGACGAGCGTTTAGTGCCGCACTTCTTTTAAAAGTTAAACGGTGTGATGTTTGAAATGTGACCCAGTTGACCTGAAAATGGAGGCTCTGATATAATAGCCCCATACTGATTTATTTTACTGATATAATGTCCCTCATGTGGCCAACTTACGTTAAGGCATTCTATTTATGCCATAGGCATTAGAGTTTAGGGGGTCAAGAGTCAAAAGAGATGGGTTCCTTTGATGATAACCGACTGTCTCATATTTGGAAATCTTTTATTTTCCTCAAAGGTAAACCTGGTCCGTGCCTCCCCTTCTGTAAATTCTCGGCAACTGCATTTCACAAGATAACGATAGAATTCACCATTGCTATTTCTTTGTTAAAACTGGGTGAAAGTGAGAGCAGAAAGTAGATTACATGTATTAAATTGATACTACAGTAGGTAACCTGACTGCTGCATACAACATATAACAATGCGAAATATGTTACGGGTAGACCAATACAAGTGCTCCCACTTCAGCAAAAAAGTTTCTTAGGTGTTCAAGACACACATCACATTCAAATCATTTCCTCGGTGTTTTTCTCCAATTTTTGCCAGGTAAACCATGACTTTGAAGTTATTTCCATCCTAAGATGATTAATACCCGCCAAAATACAAGCAATCCTGTCAAGCCGCTTCCACCCTTCTTTGTTTTCGAAGCCCCAAGTGCCATCTGTGATCTCACGGACCACGACCTAATAGAATTTGAGGACTTTAAAATTTGTGATTGTCCACGTGGATACCTTTTTACTGGCCTACGTTGCTGCAGTATACGTTGTTCGAATGGTAATGCCATATACCAGCCCTCAATATAAAATGTTGTAATTTTTATCCCCTGCTAATTCATTTTCATTCTGTTTCCCCTGGAAATTTTACTGCGTGGTAACAGGTCTAGTTGGTTTTATGGGGCCAATTTTGTTTAAATTAGATTTAGCATATGACTATTGGCATATTAATTTTACTTACAGTAGAAATTCAAGATTAACATCTTGAAATAAAAATATTATCTAGTATTATATTAGTAGTATATTAAAGGAGATTACGCTGAAATGGCTAGTTTCAAAATGATTAATTATTGAGTTTCAGTTCATAAAAACTGTATGAGGAAAATTTTTTGTTAGTTCTTAAACTGTATATGAAAATGAAAAACATTTTACCCGACCATCCTATAGGGTAATAAATTGATTACTTTCATAAAATCTTGAAAGACATTCGTATTGTGTTACACTCCAAGCTATACGTACAAGTATTCTTGCGTTAACAATTTACTGCAGCCCTGTTCTTCAGCTTCGGGAATGATTTAGTTACATAACCATAACTCTTTGTAAAGAAAATCCAAAGCTTGGTAATCCCATTTAAGGCATGATCCATTTTTAAAACAGCACATGCACGTGGTCATCGGCTTTTTTTGCACCACCAACCGTGTCGTGAGGACGATCCTTAGATTTCGTTGTAGAAGTTTATTCGAGCCTTTCCCAGTGGTACAAAACTCTTGCCCTCTGACGATACGTTAACGCATAACCTCTATAGAAGTTTGTTTAGAGCGTCTAAGGTTCTGGAATCCAGTCTTTTAGGGATCCTGGTAGTTCAAAAATGCCCAATTTTGCTGTAAAGCCTTGCTACACAAGGAACGACATAGGGCCTAGGTCGTACTACTCGCCGCCATTTTACGGTGGCCTTGCACATATTTCATATTTTGTCCTTTGATTTTGACCATTGTCGCTGTGGTATATTTTGCCCTGCAACGTACTTCGCAATGAGCTGTACACTTGCGCCATTCTTATTTGATTGTAGAACAGTTTTTTTAATTCTTCAGTATTTGTAACATACTTTGTGAAAGTTGCATGTGTTGTATTTCGAGTTGAGAGTTGACTGAGCTTAAGGCAACTCTCTCAAAATATTTGGCCCTTTGGCTTTTGGTCTCCCTGACCCCAGTTTCATTAACGGGTATACAAAGGCTTTATTTCCCCCCTCCGTATCATCACGTGGTTACAATATCAAATAATCAAATGATATCTCATTACAACGCCCAGTAACTTCGTCCCATCGAATGCCATTACTGCTGCCCGATATAAACCTGTTCTTCCATCTTTCAGAATTACATGTAATTAACTGATAACAATTTCATTTTCCTGAGAGTACTCTTTTCTCGGACTACCCCTCACAAAGCATAGACTAAAAGGGGAACTTAAGAATTTATGCGTTGGGTATTGTTCATTTCTAACATTTCTGAAGGCACACACAAAGAAAACAAGAACACAAGTTCACCCTGGCTAGCGACGGGTTCTACTCTTTTAGGCGGTCAGGAGGCAAGAGTGAAGCGAATTTGACGCTAGGAAACACTTTGTAGCGAAATTTGCTCAAGCTGAAAATGCGTTCGACAATTCCGTGAGAATACCGCTGCGCAAATACCGGTACATGAGCGTGGAAGACATTCCAATTTGGCGTTCGTGTTCGCTTACGTGCTTCGTATACACCTTTCTTAACAGGAGCATTAGATCCAAACATTATACTGCGCACGCAGGCATCAATGCTTGGAGTTGAAAGACGGACTCTCAAGGCGTAAGAACCGTGCACGTATAGCGGCGGAAATAAGCGCTTAAAATAGATGCAAGGTTAATGGACGGGACGGGAGGGACAAAGGAGGGAAGAGAAACCAAACAGGGAGACATGGGGCTCTGGGAAAATAAAGAAATTCAGGCTACCTGGAGGAAAGAGACTAAAAAAGCACTGTAAAAACATACAAAAAAGGGGAGAAGATTCATCATAAAACACGACGTTGAAAATGACTATTCGTGAAGTGTTTTTAAAACTGTCCCTAGAACTTGTGTTTCAGGTGACAAGTGTATTTATCGTTCTTTAGAAAGGGAAGAATGAGGTTTAAATAGCTAATTAAGCAATCCTTCCGTGTCCTCCTAGGAACAGTTGAAACAATTGGAATTTCATTTCATTGAGTGTATTCATTTCCAATTCCTAATGGAAGGGCCTTGGTTAAAAATTTATTTGTGCATAATATTAAAACTATCAATAATAAATAATAAACATTGGCAATCAAATGATTTATAAATGAACTTGCATAAAATATTTCAGTTTAATGCATTTATGTAGCCACAGACTCTGCTTGCGCGCAGGGACTTGAATATTCCAGAGTTTTTCCAATCGAATAGAACAGTCTGTTTTCTTTTCTAATCGTATCGGACTGCAAGTTGTGCCAAAGTTCTTTTGGATCGCATACGGCTAAAAACTGGCGCATGTGTCGTTTCGTGAATGCAGCATTGGCAAAAACTGAGTTTGTTTCAACATGGCCTCTGAAAAAGTACTTGAAAAAGACTCCATGTAGCAAAAGGCATGAATATCTTGAAAAACTTGTTATACAGCCCTAACGGTGTAATCGTAAACTAAGGCTTTAGGAAAGCTTGGAGATTTTACTGCTGGAGAACAAAATTTAGCTTGTTGGGGTGTGTTCTAGAATTTAAAACCACAGGAAGTTCGGTATACATGTACAGTGCATCTCAAAAATATGCCCCAGTAGACATAAACAATAAAAAATATATTTTGTGCCATATTCTGATCACTAACAACGGTGCATGCCAACTTTACCGTTTCAAAGCAGAGGCTGACAGCGCTGCTCGCTGAAAAACGTTAAGGGGGAATCTCTCGTTTTCTTTGTCAGAAAAGTGGCACAAACTCACTTTCGAGTGCTCGTGTTTACTGGGACACATCTATGGATCGGCAAAGCATAAAGAACGAAATAAAAAGTATCATCAAGCCAAGAATGTCCCTTTCAACCCAGGCATGTTTTAAACACCGTCAACTGGCATTTGATGTCTGAAATTGGGAGCGCTTTGCTGCTGCTCTTTTAGGGAACATGCTGTATACGATAACGCAAATCGGTCAGAAATATACGTGTGAGTGGTATCACACTGTCTACAACATTTGAACATCTGGACAAACGGACATTAAGATGCATGACGGCTTTTACTCATGTTTGTGACACAAATAAACTGAGCAGATATTTGTTTATGTTGCAGATACGGCATTGAAGAATGGAGAGGCTGTTGGGAGCGACCAGGATATGCGTGGCCTTTTTCTGTGTGTTGCAGGCAGCCTGGTGAGTCTGCATAATATCTCAACGAGTAGTTGAACGATTTAGTAGCAATACAGCGTTCAAGGTAATATTATTTACTTCATTCAAGTTCACAGCACATGCAGAATCACCATTTTATCGAAGATGGTTATGGCGGGCCATCGATATATGTGGATTCATTAAGGTATCAACCATTCCATTTAAGAATATCGCGGATGCAATATCTGCATGCATCATTGGCGCTGTTGAGGGGCGCCAGTTATGACAGCTGCTCCGTCACTGCCCAACACTAACGAGCTTATCTTCGATCCTCTGGAATATGTATGAATGAAGGCGTTGCTTCTCGCACATTTAGGCCTGACAGGTTCGAGGCGCGCCCTTGTAAGGAGACAAATGGTCATTTCTTTGGGCCTACTTTAAACTGGATAAACATGTCCAAATTTTGCTCTAGGTAAGCGCTTTTCACTTTGCAGTGAGATTCCCATGCAAGTTTGGTTTGTTTGATAATGTGTGTGATATCCCTGCGACTTGGGTTAAAGGCATTCGGCAATCGCCCAGGTTATCCCATGAGAACGCCATACCTGAATAGTGTACCGAAGTCAGACTCGGTGCAAAAGTGCATGGGACGCCAATACGACCCCGGTCTCCCGCATTGGAGCAGACTGAGGGTGTCCCTTGACACTAACGCGGTCCCTGAAAGAAGGGCGTAGACCCTAGGAGGGTGGTGTATATAATATTTGTACTCCCATCATTTAATCACAGGAATAAACCACTAGATTAGTCCCTCTAGGCTTTTGTACCGCCCCTCATGCCAATGGTACCATCTGCCTTCGCGATCGCCTGTTTGCGAGAATGCGTTACAAAAATAGTACACTTGCTATTAAAAGGCATTCTAGTCTTTGAAGTGCGTTTTGTAAGTTACTTTCTACTTGTCTTCGACTCACATCTACGTCCGTACAACCTGAAAACATCATACAAGTATCGAAATCAGGATACAACAAATGACTCAATGGCGCTGATGCCTGTTTTACGAACGTTACAATTTGAGGGGCATTTCGTACATTATTGTCCAAGTTTGCACGTATTGACCATGAAAAAGGACGTCAGTAGAGTTCCAACAGCGTTTTGCTAACAACTGCGAATATCCACAATGTGGCAAGGCATCAGGTGTTGCTTCGCCGTGCTCATAGATTTGGTCAAACATATTTTAAATGAACGTCTCGCGAATGCAGTGAAAAATAACAAGGTAAAACTCCGACTGTGCTGTTGTTTAAGTAATAATGATTTACAATTGAGCGGAGGGAAACGGGTTGGGTTAATAACGCATTGATCGGGATATCTCGGATGAAAGAAACATGACCACGCGTGTAAAGCTTGTATCCAATAAGCGATACTGTCAACAGCTGTTCACTCACACAATTACAATCCATGAACTCCCACTGTACAGCAACCAGTATTGCATGCTCCCCGCGAGAAGTTGCGCAACTGTCAGCTCAAGGATGGGTAACAATAAAAAGGCACAATGCTGGGTATACTGACGTGTGAAAAATTAACGTTGCCCTACATGGTTGGTTTATGGTGACTACATAATAGTCAAATAATAACCAACCTTCCACTGAAACAATGTAGTATCCTTTTCAACAGTTACTCAGTCCAGACTTCAGATGCCTCACTGGTGAGCAGGTAATATCAAATGAATTGGATCCAATGGAAAAAAGATCACTGTGCTCCCATGAATCAAAAGTGGTGGGTAACAATGTTACCGTTATTATCCAACTGAAAAGATTTTCACTGTGAGGCTAAAATCAAATGTAATGAAAGCAAAACAGGCTGGTTCCCCCTTTTAGATTGTTCAATGAATAAAGTGGATTCGGGGAGTAAGATCAGAAATGGTGTGAATACAACAGGCTACAGAGCATGCCCCGTTCATTCAACGTGCTCATGTGCACGGCGGCAGGACTGATTCACTTTATGTTGATTGCAAACGTACCCGTCATCTCACACCATTCTTGAAAATCATCGGTTGAAATTTCATCTCTAGCTCAGCCCCACAAAGAAAAAAATGTGAAATGAAAAGCTTGTACAATGAATTTACTAATTAGACAAAAAACCTTGAACGCAAGAAAAGACCATTGCTTGTTTTCCTGGATCATTGTAGCAAGGTTTCAATGCAGTCATGTAAATGGCAAACTGATTAATCAGGCCTAAAAGGTAAGTCTAATTGTGCTAACATATCGTGGTTCACACGAAAGTTATCTGTAGAAGATGTCTCACTTTGTCTCAAACAACAGGGTAGTATAATGCTGGCAAGTATTCCAAAGGTAAACGCTTGTTTGTAACATTGCGATCTTTGTATTTTTCACTCTTAGAACGTAACATTAATTTCCAGATCAGAATAATATAATCACCAACCTTTTCCCGTCATTCCAGTTTGCGCATTTTTTGTTTCTACGTCAAACTTTAGAGTGGCTCCAGTATTCTTTATATTCTAAATCTTAAATTTGATAGTGCCCGATACAAATATTTAAAGGGGCCGGGTGGGGAAAAACTTTCGCTGAGCGTTTAGAGCCCATTTTAGGATTCTTTTTTAGTTAAGGTCTTGTGCATTTCTGGGCATCTTTAAGAGGTAGATCTTTTTCATAAAAATTCAAAGCGATTCTACTCATTCACAGACAGGTTTTCCATCGAGATAACGTTGTTCAAGATAAAATGTAGAATATGTAAACGGAGCACGCCATATTTTAAACTTGGTAAACAGTTTTTAAAGCTTGGCGGTTAGCCTTAAATTTGGCGGGAGAAGAGCAAAGCTTGGTTGGCCGCCAGGCATCTTAATCTACAGGTTAGAGAATACTAGGTTCTGTTGTGCATAAAAGTAATTCCGACACCCTAGATGAAAATACTGTGAAGGATTGAGAGTTGTACATATTGAAGCCCGAACGGACAAGTGTGTTCAAGGTGACGTCAGCGGGCTCTACGGGAGACCAGGCCCCAAGAAGTCTGCCGAGGTAGGACGGGCAGGTGGTCTCCCTATCCCTTCTGTCGAATACATTTCCCCTCTCTGGCTAAATAAATGGTTGTTTTTTGTCTACTCATAGCACACGCTAGCTGCACTATGACCAAACCCGAGCTGACTATTCGCTGCTCTAAATGGTTATTTACGAGCCAGGGATGAAGGTAGATATGACTGGGTAAATTACTCTTGGCAATTGTTCATCCTTCCAAAGTATAATACATGTATGTGCCGGGGGAAATTATACGACTGCACAAACTAAATTGCCTGTATCAGTAAATAGGATCCAGAATACATAAAAAGGAGCAGGCAAAACAAATGGCACACAAATGCAATTCGCTGATGAATCCTCGAAGCTTTATCGAGGGGTCGTAGCCCTAACTCCGACAATGTATGTACAATCATATTGTAACCGGAGGATTGAGACTGTAAGGGTTAATTTAGGGTCTGATTTTTTGTATGAAAATTTTCTGCATAAAAAAGACTCAGCGACAAAGGGATGTAGGACTTTAAATGCAATGCAGTTCCTAGGTGTAACGCATCTGCAACTGCAGTCACAGCCTCTCTAACGGCGTAACACTGGAACCACTATGACCGGAGGTATTAGAACGCGGCGTATCTGCGATATTGGAGTTATCAGCGATGCATATACGTGTACGTAAGACGCTCACAACTGAATTCTGGAATGTTGGGCCACTACAATATATAACAAAATGTTGTTTACAAACGACGACCTTGAGCGTTAAATCTCGTAGTCTGTGCCGCACAAATTAACAAACCATGAAAACAACACAACAATCAAAATAATCTTCCATTGTTAGATCTTAACTTTGAGAATAGGGCCGTTTTCCAATACTCAACTTCGGCTCCGTCTCAGGCTTCAACTGTTTTTAACTAGCTGACGTTGAAGCTGTAAGCGCAGTAATTAGTTTAATAGTGCCACAAAACATCAAATGAGATGCAAGAGAGCCAGAAATTACAGTAATCCAATTTAATTTAAACGCTTCGGGCCCACAATCGGGGATTGGTTTTGGGAACGAAGCCTGAGACGGAGCCCAAGTCGAGTATTGGAAAAGGGTCCTGAGTACATGTACTGCTATAGTCTGGTACCAAATCTACCAAAGATTTGGTATTAAAAACAACCGAAAACGATGACAGATGGTTGAATGCGTTTGTTAAACGTTGCAAAGTCAAACTCACAAAACGTAACAATGAAACATTGCTACGTGGTTCGTTGGTAACAATTAAATTAGGTGTATTTTGGTAAGAATGCTTAAGGGTGCCACGAAGTTCATTTTTCAAATTTCGTTTCTACCTCATGTATTTTACCATTTTTTCCATGGTTCGTTTGACGAGATAATAAAAGGTATTTCCAAAGTTCGTTTGACGAAATCTGTGTTTTTGTGTTTGTTTGAAACCTGAGAGCGTTCGTGGTAAGTGTTCGTCCGACTGGTAGTTTATAAACTAAGCGTACTGGTGCAATCGGATCTCGTCAAACAAACTTGTAAAAACATTATCCTGTAAAAACAACTGTGTCTCAAAAATGTCATTAGCGGGCACTAATGGGCTTCGTAATAGCTGAAATGCAGAGTGACACGTAGTACGTACCGATATACGGTGTTCAACTCCGTCAAACGGTTGGCTTTTTCATTATTAGTACCGGTGTGACTACATACATAACAATCTCTGGAACGAGAGAAAAGAATTTAATGACCAGCATGTAAACTTTATCTCCTGTCAATGAGAGCCCCATGTTAATTTACGTCAGTTTGTCTTTTGCTACCTACAAAAAAACTTCTCACGGTCGGCATGACGTCATGTTTCTTGTCTGTGATTAGAGAATATTATTTTCCTTGCACTGTACCTCTTCACTGAAAATACTTTGAAAATTCCACTACATTATGAAGCCCAAATATGGACCATATTATAACAAAAAAGTTGTACACTTAGTTTTATACTGCCTTAGCCCTCTAACAGTTCCAAACTGTTCCTCCGATTTCAGAATGATATTACGTACAAACTCACATCTGATGTTAATATTCAGGAAAGTTACCGGGGTTCCCATAACAATCAAACAAATATACATGTAGTAAGTAAAGGCCACGCAAAGAAAAAAAATCAACAGGAAAATTTCATTAAGTCTGTAATGTATTTGCTCGCTTTGCTCCTGTAACACGAGGGCTGTTATTTCAATCACTGCGTGCTAGATATGTGCTTGTAAAAACGGGTGAACCAGTGCGACTCAAAAAGTAGCAATGTTTAAAGGTGCCGTCGCATCCAGCCGGGTTTGCGAATATTTTTACTGTATACCCTCAATTTTGCCAATTTCCAGTCAAAGAAGACAAAGCCTGAAAAGTTTCCAGCCTGACTCTCTAACACAAAATTTAAAAACGCTCTGAATTTATGACGACCCAGCCAAAACCTCACAAAAAGTGGAGAAATGACAAAAGCAAACTCATCAATTAAGACACATGTATAGAGTCGTATTGGGTTTAAGAGTTTTATTTAATACACGACAAAATATGAGGAACAACGGAAAATCAGAAAAAGGGTGTACAAGAAACTATACCAATACATGTGTGCATGGCTTTAAAGCGGCTTCCAATGAGATTATGATGTCAAGAGCTTGACGGATCGTGACATTCACATAAATGCTCTGACGGGTCAGCTTCTCTGCCTGGCGGCAAATGAATCGCAACTGGGAATACTGATCGTCGCGGTCTACCACACAGCGGGGGCGGCGTGCGTGCATCCCGCAATGTGAACGCACCGACTGCTGCCCGCTCACTTACCTCGATTATGAATGTGGTCTCATGCCATCCGTTATCGAACAATTCTCGGCATTGTGCCAAGGATCAGCGTGTCGTGACTATCAGCCTTTTGGCCTGATGAATAATCTCATTTACTCTAAATTAGTAGTTAGCACAGAAATGCTGGTGATTAGTGAGCCACTAAAGAAAGTCTTCACTGACTTGCCAAATTTGACTTGTTCAGCATGCACGCAGCTATCGCGTGCAAATTGACAATGACACGAGTCAAACCCACCTTAATCCAAACGGGACCATTAAAGCTATATAACTCAACAACCCAGATCATATTAAATCAAACCATGTCGATCCAACTCCACCCAACCACACCTGAAACATCCAGTCCCACCAGTACTTTAATCCAGCCGACCCCTTGCCCAACCGAAACTCAAGGGCCAAGCCATCAGTCTAGAGTCCAAGCCCAGCGCAGATCAGCCAAAATCAACCTACCCTCCAGACCCGCCCAACGCATGCAACGCTTCCCAACCTAACCCAAGTGTAGTAAAAAGATTGCTCCAGAAACATATCCCACATCACCACAAAAAAATGTTTCTTACAATCTTTTCCGTTAAATTCAACCTCCCATGCACGCCTGTAGGTGCTGTGGTCAAGGAACAAACACTACGGCCATACTGAACAGCATCCTTCGGGACTACGACAGAAGACTCCGACCTAATGACACAGGTAAGATATAATCGTTCATAGTTCAGCCATGGTGTACACGTAAATTTGGCCAATAGGATACGTTTAGGTATCATTTCTAAAACGCAATTTGCCACTTGAATGCAGTCGCTATCATCCTATAACAATACCGAAATTACATTTGCGAATAATTAAAAGTTGTTTTCAGTTTTTGCACGCGTAAGTTGAATAAGAGAACCGTTTGCATGATGTTGCACGATACCACGCAATATATTCAGGACGGAGGCAGTGCCATTGTCATTACGGTCTTTTGTTTGATTCCGATTTTCCAAATCTACTCTTCTAACAATTCTGCATTTGCATTTCAAAGCAACGCACGCCTCATGTCCTGAATTTTACGACCACGTTTCATGCTTGCAATGGCACGGAATAATTCACAAATTCAGTGCTCCCGTTAAAAGATAAAAGGGCCATTCATCGCAAGTCCCAATCCACTCGGTGCCAGCGATAGTAACGAACTGAACAAAAGTATGTTCATTATAGTGGAGCTCGTTATTTTTTGGTGGGATGGTGGTTTTATTTTTTACTTTGTTTCTCAGTGCGCTATTTTAACGCAGACCCTGCCACTTTCCCCAACCTTCACTCTCATGATCGATGATGGGGACTTAATTAAGGCTAATTAAGAACATAGGAAAACAGTGGAATGGATCAATCCCTTTGATCGTGTTCTCTCGAGCCCCCATTACAATGGATGCTTCAATTAAAGCGAAACATCGATCTCGCATGAGTCTTGAGTCCCTTTGACGGCTGTTTGCATGTAGCACTGCTGTATTCTTTGATCAAGTGGTATTCAAATATAACTGTTGTTGAATTTGCAGTTTTTACTCTTAAAAGTTGGAGGAAACGGCTTACTTTTAATGCCGGCCACAAAATTTAGAAGAAAGTAAAAAGTGGTTCTGTTCTACGAAATGAGTGAATAAAAAAACCGAAACATGAAAATGAAATTCAGAATTGAACAAGTCGATAATAAAATCTCCCATGCATTTCCCTTCTTTAGAAGTAGCATCTCCAAAGTCATGTCAAAATGTTTTCAGATCCTCAAATGCTTAGTAACTTCTATTGTACACGGTACAATAGGTTCACCGGTTAGCGTCAAGATCAATGTCTACATCGAAAGCATGGAGGGCATTCGCGAATCCACCATGGTAGGTTTTTATACATCCTCCTCGGTTGACCTTATTCTACCCTTCAAAGCAAACCTTGGCACCACAAGTCTTTGCTCGGCCTGTGTCTGCCTCTATACATGACCATAATAGTTGTTTAACTCGTTAACTTTGTAGCTCGGAACATTTCTTAGTAACCTCTTTCTGGAGTCGGCAAGGATTACTGCTAAGATTAAATTATTCATTGGTGGAAAATACTTTACACAAGTACACCACACTAGTTTGTTGCATCTGCTGCATTAAAAAATCCCTTAATCTAGTTTGATTTCATGACTCTCTAATCTCTGCAGGATTTTGCTATCACTATGTATTTTCGGATGTTCTGGCGAGACCCTCGACTCTCATTCGAGGGGAACCAGACTATCATCTTCAAAAGTGGTGATATGGACAACCTCTGGATCCCAGACGTGGTCTTCTTGTATGAGAAACAAGCCAAGGTCCACACGGTGACCCAGATAAACAGACTGCTCCGTGTTCAGCCAGACGGTAACGTGGCCTCCAGCTCCAGGTACCCGTGTTTCGAAAAATGGTGCATTGTGTGGACTATAGGCTTTGTGTGCGGGACGCTTGTCGTTAGCTTGGATGACTTATGAACAATACTCATACCAATAAGCATTTTGCGAGTTAAACTTGAATGAAATCTGATGCAATGAGTTCTTTCTTCTAATGACAGTGTTGCTATACTCGTGACTCGGGCAAGTTTTTGCGGAGGGTCTAACCTGGTTCCTCTGTGCCCCTCTTATCCATTGAAAACAGTGTATTGGTTCAAGGCGTCTCTTATGTAACAGGGCTGTGTTTGTTTCACCGATCTGGATCACGATCAGTGATCCGTCGTTGGTTTACAGACACCAAAACTCACCTATTAATGGATGGTGCGAACCAGCGTACGGATCACTGATCGTGATCTAGATCATTGCAGAGACGGTGGTACGCAAAAGCTTGCCCCAAATCACGAGGTATAGCACCACTGCCTTTAGTCTGGGGAATTCAAATTGCTGTGTTTATGTGCAATCAGATAACTCATCGTACCAGATTTTATTTAAATCTAAGGCTGCGTCCAAATCTCTTTCCTAGAGTCAAGGTCTTTGCTCCATTGGAAATGCGTGGAGACGCGCAGACAATAGACCTAGCCGTAGCTCTGCAGGCCCGTTTCGGACACGGCCAACACCCAAAAGGCTTACTGTGGCCTAAGACGGAATTGAGACAACGGTTCCCTTGTTCGAAACAAAGCCTGGCAAATGTACTCTGCTACATGCAAAACGCTGCTGCTTAAGTGCTTAAATTGGGGGAACTGAGCTTGAACAGTAACTGTCGATTTTGGGTAAATATCGGTACATTGGCAGGGTCAGCGCAACGCTATCATGCAACATGATGCTACAGCAGTTTCCAATGGACAGGCAGAAATGCACAATCGTCATGAGCAGCTGTAAGTCATCGTTCGACGAATAACTATTACTCTTAATATTATTATAATGCAGTATCACTTCAAATGCCGGTCTAATATCGTCATGTCCCCGGCAAAAGGTCGTAAGTGCGCTTACGCCCTTTTGTCCAAAAGCAGGATCACGGTAGAAAAGAATTTTCCCGGTTAAAGGTCGTAAGAAATACACCCTCTTTATTTAGTAAAAACGGATAAAATTTACAAAAAAATGAACGCAGGCTGTGCAAAAAGAAACCTCTGCACAACTTATCAAACGACTTGGGAATTTTTTTGTAACTATTTGCAAAAAAATCTTTATATTTCGTGGAAATAAAATAGTTGCATACGTACATCCTTTTGCCGGGAAATTCTTTTTTACAGCGATTATGCTTCCGGCAAAAGGTCGTAAGCCCTTTCGACCTTCTGCCGGGCACACAAAAACAAGCGGAACATTTACCCCCACTGCAAGCAGGACAGAAAAGTAAATGCCAACATTGTGTGGTGCTAACTACACCCAAATCATACCAACCTAAGGAGGGATATGCATGCGAGATTCAGATAAACATTTAAGACCTCTTATCACATAAGAAACTTTGCTTAAAATTTTTACGCATAGTTGGTTAGAAATTTGCTTAATTTCGGGACAAACTTTGGTTAATGTTCTTTAAAAAAAGAATATTTTGCTAATTAAAGTTTATATTCTCTTCCGTTATTCCCTGTTCTGTAACCATAATCTTCTGCCACCAGACGCCTACAGCACTCGAGATGTGATCCTGTACGTGGAGGAGGGCTCCATTCAAATCGAACCGGGTATCACGATTCCAAAGTTCTCTTTAACAGGTTCGGAATTTTCCAACGAAGAAGCCATTTACTTACTTGGTAAGCATGAGGCAGTCTAATGCATCGTATATATAGAGGCCTGCATGAATGCTGCATTGGATGAGACTATACAAATCCCCATGTACTTCAATATACAGTAAAAAGGATACCAGTTCACAGGTGCACGCAATGAGAGATGAATACAACGGAAACTTACGATCACTAATAATCACTCTTCAGTCCGCAATGTTAGGAAAAAGGCCTTCTTGAAGTTTCTTCTTGACTACAAAGAAAGTCAAACATTACCTGCGGAGGAACGCTGATATCAATAGATTAATTACGTGAATGGCGTGGCCATGACAGCCTGTAATATGAGCGATCATTAAAAATAGGAGGATTCCGGACACAAAAGCGGCTCGAAAACGCAAGGTGATTATGTTACCATGCCCTTTTGCGGTTATGAGCCTATATGAACGTATACAAACTGATTTCTAATGTATTATTTCGTATATGTGGACGATAAAATAGCCACGTAAAATGGAGGACATAACCACTTTGCATATACAAAAAGTGAGCACTGAACAGATTGTACATCTCGCACTACTGTGCGTACTAAAGGCACTTTCCATATGCACGTCTCCTGGCCCGTTCTTATATTTACCACGATTCTTTTGAATAATTTCAATGCTAATCACGCGTACGTACACGGGGCGCATTGAAAACGCGCATTTCGACCGTATTATGAATTCTGGTAGACGACCAAATGACAGATAATAATTTCAGTCTGTACTTTGTGTATGGGTCACAGGAAATTACAGCACGCCCAAGTTTCACTTTTACTTCATGCGGCAGACGGAGTCGTACTTCCTCACCGTGTACATTCCTACCATGGTACTTGTCAGCATCGCCTGGCTATCTTTCTGGATTGACGCCAAAGCAGCCCCCGCGCGCGTTGCCCTGGGTATAACTACGGTCCTGACAGTGACCACCATGACAGCCGGCATACAGGAGACGCTACCGGTCGTCACCTACGCGAAGGTACGCATTGCGATTGTTATTAACTTTGATCAGTCACACATGCGTCCAACTAGAACCTGCATTTTGAACTTCAGTGTTGCATGAAACTTTGATATTCTGGCAGTTATTCTTCAATGTTCATGGAGCGGTCCCAGTAGCTTAGCTAGGCTAACGTTGATTTTGTGAACACTAGGGTGCATGGTATTAAAGTGAGCTTACTTGTATCATTCCGTCCACTTACCCGCTGCTGTTAACAAACGAGGCTTTTACATGAAAATGCCGACGTTCGAAAGATGGAGGTAATATAATCATGTGAAAAATGTGCTGGGCTAATAAGTCAGGTTTGACGTCGATAATGCGTTGAAGTCAGCGTTTTCCCTTCGATAACACAAACTTCAGGGGGCTACAAATTTGGACAGAAAGTCAAACGACCTTTTGAAACAGATCTTTTCCGACAGGAAAAACTGCGATAAAAACGTGTCATCCAAAGTCCAAACCACGAATGTCCACCACATTCTATCTTTTTCTCATCCACTCTACTCGCTCAATGCAAGTTACCAACCGACCTCCTCGTTTTCCGTTCTTTTGTGCCCACATTAGAGTACCGTAGTGTGGCGTTACTGTGAACCGGGAAGTGCAGTGCAAACGAATGGAGTACGCGCGCGTGTTGGTTCACGCGCTGGTTCTCGCGCTAATGCCTCTTACACACTAATTGTGCGCGTGCTGAAGCTATTGCGTCATTCAGGTGCTCACTAATGATGTACCTGTACACTTCGTATCGCTGGCATTTTGCTGCAAAAGCCTTTCTAACGGTGTTGTGGAAGTTGGATCGGGTACTATGGTAGCGCTTGCTCCTTCGTGAAAAAAAAAAACAAAACTAACTAAAGACACATCTTGGCAAGGGTTCCATGCAAGGACACCATTTATTTTCCCTTGCAGTGGTTTATAAACCATCAGAAAGTGATTAACATACCCTAAATAGTCAAATTTTGCAATGAAAATATTGATTTATTATTTACTTAGAAAACACTTTAGGGTTTGTACACAGGGTGTCGAGTGATGTCCATATATAATCTTTTCTGCATATCTTTTCTACATTGCCATCACATTTAGGCCATCGACATTTGGCTGGCTGTGTGTCTGCTTTTCGTGTTCTTCTCTTTGTTGGAGTTTGGAATGGCAAATTATCTACTCGTCGTACAGGTAGTTTTTCTCCACACCAGTCTTCTCTAACTTTTAGATGGGCCAATTGCAGCTGTCGTAAATTCAATTTTGAACTTGAACTAGCCAGGCACCAGCGCACGTACAACTTAGCAGCGGCACCAGGCTAATATTCAATGCCAAAAATTAATTTTAATATTCGAGTTTAAAAAGAAATGGCCTTCGGACACGTTCTTTTAGAGACTGCACGAACAAAAAAGGCATGCGCAGCACAAAGAAAATGACACAGATCGGTATGTGTTTCGCAGCATGCCACACACAACAGAAAATACATTCCCAGACAGTGACGTCCGACATAAAAGCGATTACACATGTACCTGGTTTTCTTCTTTTGATAAACTTCAGACACGAAGAGAGAAGAGTCTGGCTGGTGACATCGAACAGTCCCCCGCGAAGGAAATGGAGCGCAATTTGCAGATCGAGACCGTTGGTGATGGTGGCCGTTGCTGCTCCAGTCTGTGGACGGCCAATCGACTGGACTGCGTGGCCCGCTGGGCCTATCCCGCAGCCTTTCTCGTGTTCAATGCGTTCTATTGGATCTACTTCTTAGCGTTTAACAAGGCAAATGCTAAACAGCACTAGCATAAAACACTGGCACATCAATCTGAAACAGAATACCTTGATGTGTTTACCGTTTGTAAATACGTCCCACTTTCAGGTTTGTTCTTAGACCAGAGCTGTAGACACACAATAAGCGTAAGGTTGGAGAATGTACACACCATTAAGGATTTCTCTTTGTAAAAGTAACGCTGAAAAACACCACGCAACTTTCAAACTTCCTCGTCAAAGTGGGGAGCTAAATAAAGTGACTGTACCCAAAGCCATATCATAGGTTTTCCCAGTTAATTTTGCACTTCATTCATGTAAAATTGCTTAAAAGAAAGTTTAATTTCGTCAAAGAATGGTCACTCGCCCCAAATGTTGATTGTAATTTCTAAATCACGCCACTAGATTCCACTTTCACATCATTGTAATTCACGAAAAGAACCATTCTTATTCGTCAAATTTATCGTCATTTTCGTCTCACTCCTGGAATGGCGTTGAATCGGAAATGCAAATTCGTCATTCATTGGATTTTTCATAAAGATTAACTTCGTGGTTATTTGGACGTCATTTTTGTTGTGATTCAAATTAACTAAAAAGAGTAGGCCGAAGCAATCAGGCACAAACATATCGCAGTAATGACATAACTCACTTATTTGACTTTCTCTCGTTAATCAGGCGAGATTACTGGTACATGTGTATCTTGTCTTTCGTAAACTTTTCAATCATGCCTCTGACGAAAGGGAATGATAAAATCGGTAAAATAAATGACAAAAAAACCAACTCAATTTGCTTTCAAGTTCAACACCATTCAGGAGTGAGACAAAAATGACGATAAACAGGGCGAATAAGAACGGTTCTTTTCGTGAATTACAGTGATCTGAAAGTGAAATTTAGTGGTGTTATTTTGAAATTGGAATCAAAATTTGGCGCGAGTGACCACTCTTTGACGAAATTAAACTTTCTTTTTTGCAATTTTAGATGAAAAAAGTGCTAAATTACCCGGGAAAACTATCGGTTATTCTTGTTCATTACCTGGAGTTACTGCTTAAGCTCTGCAAAGGCAGATCCGGAGTGGCGCCAGCTGGGGCCATGCTGCCCCCCAAAAATAACCCAATTTTTCGTTTAACAATGAAAGGTCTATTTCATTTTCTCCTCCAAACAGCGTGTAAAAAGCCCCAAATGTAGCCTCAACCCCAAGAAAGGCTATAAATTATACATACAAAATTCCAAACTTTTGGCCCAGCTAGCCCCCACCTCCAAAATGGTTTTGGATCCGCCTTTAAAGGGTAGCTGCAATCAATTTGGTTTTTAATATTACAAACCTTCAAAGTGCACCTTTGTGTCTCAGTTAACCTTATTTTGAACTTTTCATTCACTATTTCAAATGGTAGTTTGCTGCCTTTTCAATTTCCATGCCGAGTATTTCTATTTTCATGAGCAAAACTGTGATGTCAACCCAGGAATAAAGTGTTAATGTTGCACTGGTTTATTTAAGCTGAAAAGTCTTGCATTTTGTAGATTTCGCTGGACTAAATTTTCTCTTCTTTACTAATTCATTAAGGTTTATGTGCATAGCAATACGTGAGCACCAAAGCTTTTCTTAGAAATGTTTTAATAAGTAAATTCTGGGTTCACAATTTTAGAAAAACCTATGCAATAAACCACGCTTTCCTGGATGACACCAAAGCAACAGCGCTCTCACTTGTCCCGGGAAACATGGATAATTTCAGGTTTTTAAAAAGTGCACCTTTTAGTGCATTTAACCAAAAGGAGCGGAGTGTAAAGATATGATGAAGTTTTTATTGAGAATGACTGTACTGAGATTTGAAACTTTCCATGGTGGAGGAAGCAAGTAAACTAGATGGGTTGCCGGCAACACTATGGGTAAATCTCCTTGTTTTTGGAGCATGTGGGGTTCTGAAAAGAACCGGTGATTCTCAATTGCTGTACTGTGCAACAAGTTCATGTAATGGCCAATGGATAGAAAGCTGATGTATCATGGTTGAATTCAAGATTTCTATGGGGTGCTGTTCCTGTTCTGTTAATCTTGGCCTGAATTTCTAAACTATGTACTAGCTGCATCCAAAGCAGGTGTAACGTTACATGTAACACATTTCAATCACTCTCTCAGATTCAACTGGCCTCGCCACATGACCAATAAGAGAACTAACTTCAAACTGCTGTGTTTTTCTAATCAATTATTAGAACAAGTCAACAGAGTAATTATATACCTCCATGAGATGAATGTTCAGGGAGGAAATCCTTTACAGAAAACAAGGGTAAATCCAAAATAATTGGTAAACCTTAAAGAAGATACGTGTATATACAATAAGTTCAAATACACACATGCAAGTGCGAACGGATCTACTTCACGCACTCCACTGTCTAATCCCAAAAGAAGGCTTCAAACCTCCAATTAGAGTGTAAAAATGCATTCGGTGAATTGTTGAATGTATGGCTAGGGGAAAACAACCAACCGCCGTTCTTTTGCTCAGCTAAACCTTGCCTCGTGATTGACAATCATTTCAAACAGAGGATCTCAATCAAACCTCTTCCTCTTGCAGGTGGATGGAGAAAAGGGAAAAATCACATAAAAACGTCTGAAAGTGTATTACTAATGGAATTTCTGCAACTGGAAGGAATGTCAGTGTTTTTGGTTTTTTTTCTGAGCAGGTTTCTTTTTATACATTCTATCTGAATGTGTTTCATGTTAAAATGATGTACCTTTGTAGTTTGATTGTTTACAATCTGATCTTCTTACAATTCCACAACCCTGAATCTAGACTGAGTTTATCTTACTCACAATTCTGGGTGAGTCGCTATAAAAGCTGTATGTGACATTTAAATCTTTGGAGAAATGTGTATTTTTACTGACAGGACCTTTTCAATCTCTGACCGAAAGAGTTCAAGTTTGAAACTCCTCATCCACTCTACTCAACCATCGAAGACAGCAGCCATCCTCACATCATTTACAAGCTCAAAACTAAACAAAACTATATCATTCCAAGTTTCACCACATAAATATTTTACAGAGCTGGTGAGAATCTAGGACCAGATTCTGACGGTGCAGTCACTACTGCCAGAGACAAGAAAGTCGCCTGACTTATCAAAGCAGACCGAATGCACCGCGTCTTCGTGACCAGCCAAGTTGGACACCTTTGAAGGCAAAACAAAATAAAAACCAAAACTGAGAGTTTAATAACCAAAAAAAAAACACACAAAAATTTAAAGCGAATCTTAAGAGTTACTTGTGGAAGGCCTGGCATTCTGATCCTGGCAGAATTTTTCCACATGAAAGAAAAAAAAAATCTTCATGGAAACTTGAAGCAGTTTAGACCTGACGACTTTGATCTTGGGTCTCGTGTTGACTGCAAACTTCTTACGCCAAACAGAAAAATCAGCACTTAGTCAGACAAATAGGACCTGCCTATGTTAACAGGGCTTTTTAAAACACACTGGATTATTGGCCCAATGTATTGATTGGCAAATGCAAAGTGTTAGCTGAAACGGGGTACTCCCGCAGTTCTGTTGGAAAACTGCAACAGACCGGCCATAGTGGGCCAATGTGTCTAATACATCACCCATACATATTTAATGGACAGACGATGGAAGCAGAGCCACCATGATTGAAAATATCATGATGAACAGGGAGTTTGTTTGACATCAGGATTCAGAAATGTTTCCTTAGAATTGAATCAATCAACATTCAACATATAAGCCTTTTCTTAACGGAGCAAACCACATATGTATGATTGAAACATTATTATCTTTTGGGTAATAATTCCATTTTCAGATTACATCTGGATCAGGTGATTGTAAGCCTCACAAAACACAAATTACGTACGCTGTACATGAACAGGCAAATTTTGGAAGACAGCACTGACACAAAATCTGGAGGACTAAAGAGAAAAAGTCTTACCTGTCCACTTGCGACTTCGTACATCTTGGTGGTACCATCGTTACTTGCAATGGCCAGCACTGAGCTCGATCCGTCAAATGCAACTCGGTTGGCTGGATGGGGCCCAATGTCCACGGTTGCCATAGGAGCACAGGTGCGCACGTCCCAGAGTTTGATGTTGCCGTAGCTGTCACAGGATGCGACAGCGTCTCCCTTGAGGTTGAAAGTGGCGTGGTTGACGGAGTGCAAGTGACCGTAGAAAGTCTGCCCACAGATGCCCTGTTGATGACGGAAATAAAACGTTCTGAAGAAGTAATTCTTTAAAAAGAATCATAAAGTTTATACCTGAGACAGATATTATAATAATCAAGAGAGAACTGCATTACAACACATGACATCTTCTGATGTACTCTTCTTAACAGCTCTGAAGAACATATATCAAGGGTATGCTGACAAATTAGGTCCATATGATGAGTATACTATTATTTAAATTATGTGCAAAAGTTTAAAATATCTTAGAAATTTCATGGAAAATGGGACCTTTCCCCCATTTTCTGGGCCTCCTCTATAATGAAAATATCAATAGCAGAATTTGCACTTGATAAATTTAGAGCAATGAACGCTAGTGCTAACAAAAAAATTGATTTTAATTTAAATGTGGGAAGGAGACATGTTGCAACGCTAATAATTTGGACACACAGCCAAGGGGTGAGCAAGAGGGGTGGATAAGTACCATTCTTGCATCCCACAGGGAAACGGTTTTATCAGCTGAGGAGGTCAACAGCGTGTTGGAATATGGCAGGAACATGATGCTGTTGACGGAATCGGTGTGGCCTCGGAGTGTGAAGCGACATCGCAGGCTGAAATTGCACAGACATGAGACAAAGTTGTTATGGATTTACTTGTTAATACTTGAAGCTTCCCAGTATAGGTCAGCTGATGCTTTTGTTACTCAGCACCAATGTCCTGTTGGGCCCATAAAAATCATCTGAGCAGTGGTTGTTGCACACTCGACACAGCGTGAACACAGCTAACTTTCGTCTGCAGGTGTAAACGCTGCTAGAATCTGTGTGTTTACACTATGGGCACCAGAACAACTGTTCAAGTGTTGGTCCGACATCTCTCTTTTTTTCTCACCAGTGAGGGGGTGATTACACTACAGGCCCACACCAGTATAGCGATGCGTATACCAGAATCATACAACTAAGATTAATTATACTTGCAGTAAAATCCAATGCAATTTTATATTCAAGGTAACTTTGTCAGCATATGTAAGAGAGATACACCCATACACACACGCCTAGCGGAAGTTGCAGTTTAAAGCACTGGAACTAACCACTTGCACGTACAGGCACCTTTTTTTTTTCCAAAGAATTGGTTGTCACCAAGTTTGAGTCATCTTGTGACAGGGTCCGGAGATGTATAATCTGAGCACTGCAACAGTGACTTGAGGCCAAATTGGGGCAACCAGTGTGATTTCTCTTGCTCTCCTCACCTGTTGAGATCCCAGACCTTGGAGGTGTTGTCCATGGAGCAACTGGCTATGAAGTCTCCGCAGGTGTGCCAAGCACAGCCCCACACTGAGGAAAAACACAATCAGACAGATGTTAACCAATTGGACACCTGACTTGATTTGGCTTGTCATTGCTGCCCTTTATGGTTTGGATAGGACACCACTCTTCAGAGGTACAGACAAAAGTGCACGAAGCAGTACCAAACATTCAGGGCACTGGATTATTTTTGAAACTTCAACATCAGGTTGATCAAGGAAATCCAATAAATGGAATGTAAATATGCAACCTCCAGAATACTGTGCAGGGGGACTTGTAAACTGAGCTATACAACTGTATGTTCGATCTCTAAATTTGTCAACTGTGTTTTTGGTCAAAGGACTTGAAAAACTGTACAGACAAAAATACTTGTACAAGTTATTGACATAGACAAGACTAAATAAGGACTTTGATGAGTAATAAATAAATACACACTACGCATGTCCATGTCCAAAAAGCTTAAAAATACAAATATGTGACTGGTTACAACAAAATGAAAGTAAAGCCGCATCTTGCTCTTTCCTATTTGAGGTTCAAAGTGATATTGAAGCGGAGGTCATTTTTGAGGTTTTGTAATATTTGGAGAGAGTAACCTGTCTCCTATTTAATTCCAAACATTTCACAGGACCATTATTTAAAAATGTCATTTTTTCAGCAATTTTGATGACAGCATTATTCATACCAGGTCTGAAATAGTGAAAAGAGTGATACTTTTACCCTAAGTGTTCCATGTATATACCACTGGAAAGGTCTTTTTCCGCTGACTTCAACAACACCAATATCTCAATTTTTGAAAATTCCGACTTTCAGCGCATTTTGTGGTGACAGATCACATATTCATTGACGGTCATCGATATGAGTGATTAACAATAAAGTGCACCAACAAGAGGATGGCAAAACAAAGCTGTTTGTTTGCAGCGCACTGTGGTAAGTGGCTGACAAATTCCGTTCACTGGCTGTGCGCGAGGAACTTGAATTGTCCCCTGTTGTTCATAAGGGTAGATTAGTGAGCTTGTTTTGAGCACAAGATGATGTCTTTGTGAGGCAGCAAAACCTGCTCCAATCTCTGAAACTCAAAATCCTCACTAATGCCAACTGTAAACCTGGAAAATGGCCACTCCATGGAAACCTCTCGGTGGCACACTGTACTGTGAACTGTCCGTATTGACTTGCCTGCATGTTGGTGTTCGGTGAAGGTGTGCACGCACTCTGCTTTGGAGAAGTCCCAGATCTTGACTGTGGCGTCGCCGCTGGCTGTAACAAGCTGGGCTCCACTGCAACAACCAGACAGAGAATTGATCTGTCAGCCCATACAATGTTCAGGCTGCATCCAGATGTTATGGCTGTAGCTGGGAATGACATGGGTGGCTATGGCTAAGCCACAGACTAGCGGCTGCAGCTACTTCCAATAGACGGGTGTGCTACTCCAGACCACAGCCAATTGGTTTGGACAGATGTGGTAAACTGTGGTGCTGAAATGCTCTGTCACTAGACATGTTACCACATGATTTTGAACGTACCTCAACTTTGATGCCTATGTGGAGCTAGTCTTATATGTATAAGTTAAGCTACTAGTAAAAGGAGGCTAAATTGGAGTGGTGTTAAGAAGTAGCAAACAAGGTGAGATCTGGTCTGAAAAGGATTCTATCCCTGACGGTGGATGAATCCATCGTTTAAAGGTCGTCCACCATTAAAGACAGGCTCGCTACGGCCGGCTCCACACTGCCACAGGTTCGGTCTACATACCTGGGATGGAAGTCGCAGTCTGCCACCCAGTCGGTGTGGCCCTCTCCGGTCATGATGATGTCCCCACTGGGGATGGCCCACATCTTCCAGGTGTGATCGTCGCTCACCGTGGCCAGGATCTGCTTGCGAGGATGCAGGGCAATGCTGCGGAAGAAAACAGGCAAACAAACACGATATATGTCTTGATCACATAAATTCTTCTCAACTTTTCGAATACATCATTTCACCTGTCATTTTAAACCTATCAGCAAAACAGCCATTCAAGTGTCTTCTTCATATTTTTGAAATTATGCAGTGTCAATTCATCATTTTTACAAGTCATATTTCTCGTAAAGACGAAGGAAGAAATTGACTGGAACAAGATTTGAGCCTGTGATCTCATGCACACTGTGCCAGAGCTCAACTATCTGAACTACCCGGCCCAATGGTACTGGCTCTTCCCATTTGTCAAAAATCTCTTTGTTCAAGTCATACGTCAAATGAAATGACAACAAAGCAGAATAGAAAAGTTTGCTTTTCCCAGTAAAAGCCATCATGACCCCATCACAGCATACGATTTTCATCAAGAGATTGGCCAAACTCTTCTTGCACGGCAAATACACCTGTACATCAAGAACTGTTCATGTTTACACATGTACATCAGACCAGTTCAAGCAAAGGTTATCCACTCCAAAACTAAGTTAAACACTGTCGTCATGTACCTTCAAAGATTCTACAAACAATTTATGTCTTCGGTTGAATACAGCCAAGTATGAGGCCAATGCATTTTTAAATTGGGTGCTTAATCTTGGTTTACGATTGTTTGGTATTCTGGGGAGTTGGTGGCTTTCTGTGGAGGTGAAAGGTGTGAAGTGGGGGTGGGAGGCTGGGAAGGGATACGCACCCACTGACGGCCAGCGTGTGTGCCTGGATGGTGTGGGTCAGGCGAAACCCTCCGGTGCGAGTCAGGTGGGCAGAGGGGCCTTTGATGTGAGTCAGCTGTGGGTTGACACCTGTGTCCACTGGGAATTCAGAATCCTAAAAACGTTTTCAAAACAAAAGGCAAAATAGAAACATAAACTGAAATATTTTCCAGATGTA